CACACACACACACACACACACACACACACACACACACACACACACACCTCCACGTGCAACTTGCAAGGGTCTCCCCATGTTTACACTCTGCACTGCTGGGCCTGCTGTCACTTGTTCAGCGTGGCCGACGGGGTTGGGTTTGGGTGTGTTTGGCTGAAATAATGACTTGATGTTACACTGCTCGAAGTTTGGGGTCCGCCGAAATGTTTGTTACCAAAACTGTATTATTTATTTTGTTTTATGAGCACAAAGGCACGCAAGAGTTTGAAGAAAACTTGGGTGCGACGTGGCTGCAGAGCTTCGACACAATTTCTAACAAAGAAGAAAACTGTTGACTACGAAAAAAGGACACACTTAGGGCTGAAAAAATAAACATAACAAAAACCCCACAGCCGTGGCAATGATAAAAACGATAAGAGTAAATAAAGACAAATATGAACCAAAAGGAAAATCTGAGTAGAAAAAATAAAAGAAGTCCCTTAAAAGGAAAGATTGTAAAATTCCAGAGTGCTGTCTTCTGATGTCGGTGTCTCGGCGCGGCGATTGCGCCCTCCGCAAATGCTTTTTGGGGTAAGGGCTTCCCAGATTAATAGTTATGAACAGCAAGCCCAGACCGCAAAAAGATTCGTGAAGGACATTATCTGCTGCTGCTACTGCTGCTGCCGTCCTACGGAGACTCCGTGACACCTCTGCTCTCTGCTTCCGTGAATTTATCTCCCATCCCGACTCGGTTGATTATATCTCCAGCCTTCGGAAACCCGAGGCGAGTGTATCCTTCCGACATGCACGCGCGCGCACACACACACACACACACACACACACACACACACACACACACACACACATTAGGAAGAGAAAGGATGGAAGAAAGAAAGACAGTGGAAAGAGGGGGGTCTCCGGATGCCAAGGCGGTTGCTGCAACTGAGAGCTGTCCAAGGTCCTTTCGCTCTGATTCCCCACTCCTCCAGTTTAAATCCTCCTCTATCTCCCTTCTCGTCTCTCAACCAATCCTTTCTCCTCTCCCCTTCCCCTCTTACTCTGTTTCTTTCATATTTTCTCCTATTTGCTATAATTATTTTTTATCCAAACGCTCGGATGTGCAAAGCCCGTGTGATCCACGGGAGCTGTGCATCGATGCGTTTTGTTGTCAGTGTGCTCTGTATTATATTCCCTGGTCCGTGGTGTGTCTCCCTATAGTGAAGCGCTGGCGCTCTGCAGCCGCTCCAGAGCGCTTGGTGAGGAGGGAGCAAGGCTGTAAACTGCTGGCAATAAATAGAGAGCAGGGAGGGATCTTATTGGAGCAAACTAAACCTCGTCATCAGCCAATCGGCTTCTCGCTCATATAGGGACCCCCCTTTTTGAAAAAAAAAAAAGAAAGAAAAAAAAAGATGGCTAACCAAATTGTGGTCTATGGCAGAGTTTATACTTTGGATATATGCATTTATATTAGGATCTACGACTCTGATGCGACTATGTCAGTGTTAGCAGTTTCTATTTTTCAGCCTTTTTGCGTTTGCAGAGCCTCTAACGAGACTGCGAAAACAACCGTCGCTCCCCGCGTTTTATAGTGTGATAAATAACAAACGTATCAAACGCTGACGATAATAATAAACATGACACGTGACAACAAAAATTAGCTATTTTCACCTCATCAGAAGTAAAGGCATCCTGGACTTTCCTTACGCGCCAGCTACAAGCTGTTTACAAAATAATGAGGGAATGCACACAAACGAAAATATGGTACAAAAACAAAGCTAACAATAATAGCAACCGGACTTTGGACAAGTGCGAACAAGCTTTGTACAGCCCTCTACATCGCGTCACATCTTAGCAAGTAGCATCTGAGGCGACTCATGGTCACCTACAGAGTTCACCGGAGGGTACCACTGCAAAAACCGACACGGGGGTCTCCGTGTAACAAATTCAGTCCCTACGATCCTTCAGTCATTTACAGGTGGGAAGCGAACATGACATTAACCATATGGCATGCGATTCACTGCAGTAGTTCACAGCTCACACAGCAACAAATGTTTAACTTAACAAAAACAACAACACGTTGCTGAGCATGGCGTCAGGAGTCAAAGAGTTAATCACGACCGCAAACCACTCGTCCTCACACATACAAAAAGTTGAAAGAATCTTTAATGATCTTCGTTTTAGAGGAAGGACAAATAAAATGAAAAGAACAACTTACCTCTTTTCTCTGGAAAAGTTCCATGTTTAATTTGTTTTTTCTAAGTTGCAGCTTTCAGCGCACCCCCTTCCCACCCCCCTTTCTACACAACCCCCTCAACTCCATGCACCTGGAAGTTACTGTATACCCCCCTCATATTTTCACCGCCCCACTATCACTGATGACACTGGTCTGCATTCAACTTGGCTCCCAGCATCCCAGCAAGCACACACTAATCACACGCTTATGGAGAAAGGAGGTATTTGGAATGTCGGGGGGG